CTAGATTGGTTACTGTGGCCAGATTGGTTGCTTGAGTTATTTTGGCTAGATTGGTTACTGTCGCCAGATTGGTTGCTTGAGTTATTTTGGCTCGATTGGTTACTGTGGCCAGATTGTTTATTTGAGTTGTTCTGGTTAGATTTGTTCCAACTGCCAGATTGGTTACTTGAGTTGTTTTGGCTAGATTGGTTACTTTGGCCAGATTGGTTGCTTGAGTTATTTTGGCTAGATTGGTTGCTGTGGCCAGATTGGTTGCTTACGTTGTTTTGACTGGATTCGTTCCTGCTGCCAGATTGTTTGCTTGAGTTGTTCTGGTTAGATTTGTTCCAACTGCCATATTGCTTGTTTGAGTTGTTTTGTTGAGATTGGTTTTTACTGCCAGACTGGTTGCTGGAGTTATTTTGGCTAGATTGGTTACTATTGCCTACCTGGTTGCTTGAGTTATTTTGGCTAGACTGGTTACTACTGCCCGATTGGTTGTTTGAATTTCTTTGACTGGATTGGTTGCTATCGCCATATTGGTTACTTTCGTTGTTTTGGCTTGATTGATTCCAACGCCCAGATTGTTTATTTGAGTTGTTTTGGCTAGACTGGTTTCTACTTCCGTATTGATTATTTGAGTTGCGTTGGCTAGATTGGTTGCTGCTGCCAGATTGACTGCTTAAGTTGTTTTGGCTGGATTGGTTGCTAGAACTACCACTGCGTTGGTATTCTTTACTGTTGTCATTGTCATCGTCGTCGTCGTCGTCGTCGTCGTCATCGTCGTCGTCATCGTCATCATCGTCAGACTCTACTGAGGAAGTTGATGATGAATCCCAATATGCGTCTTGGTGTGAGTTTTGAGCAGAACTTTTGCTCGATTTATCAGCGTAATGTTTACCATCCGAATAGACTAAGCTCTCAGAACTACTAGCAGTTGCACTGGCGGCGACTGAGCTTGCCTCTTCGATTGCTTCTTTTACTATCAAGCCATCAAGAACTTTCTTATAGGCACTTGATTCAGATGATGCTGCAGATGCAGCTTCTTCTTGCGAATGTTTCGATGCTTTTATATATACGCCATCAGACGAACTGAACTCGCTATCGCTGCTGCTGGAACTGCTTTCATAAGCACTGCTAGAAGATTGGCTTTCGGAGTATTCTTCATAGCTTGTGTGCGGTGTTCCACGATCTGTAGAGTCTGTGTAAAATAATCTATTTAAAATTTTGAAAAGTGTTGGTAGCAAAGGGATAACTATGTTATTTAATAATACGAAGTAGGAAATTAATAACGTTATCGCGAAGTAAGAACTTTTAACAAACACTATGATAGTGTCGTACTGTCGCTGTACTTCTGGAATTGTATCTGACGAATTAACCTCCTAAGAAATTATAACAACATTAGATACATAGAATATGAAACTATTTTTCCGAATTTAAATCGCGTTCATTTGTTTTTCCAAACAAACCAACGTTTCAGGTTCTTTACATACGTGACGTAACGTAAAGGGCCCGAAACGTTGGTTTGTTTGAAAAAACAATTATACGCGATTTAAATCCAAAAAAATTGTCTGATTTTCTAGGTGCCTAATGTTGTTATAATTTTTAGGAGGTTCTTAATTCTTAAGCTTTTCGATTTGTCAATTTGAGGTACAATGCATTTGCTATACAAGTTTGAGCAGGCGCTTTTTAAGCGCGAGTCGTTGGAGGATTAGCGGAAAATACTGTATTTAATCGACTGTGATTTTTTTTGTATGTATGCTGCGTGGTAACTCTTTTTTGAACCGGTTTCGATGATTCTTTTTTGTTGGGAAGAGGTACCCTCTCTAAGTAGTGGTGTATTTACTTTTGAAGATATATTCCACCTCTATGAGTGGCAAATTAGGTGATGAATGACTTTTGAGTTCAGCTTTTTTAGTATTCTGTAGTGAAATTATTTTATTTTTAATAAACACATTAATATACAATTAAATCTTAGAGCATGGTAAAAGAAAAACAGTCTAAGAATTAAACGAACAAACCAGTGCATTCATCGCCAATCACGTGATGTGTCAAAGTGACGTTTGGTCATTTCACGCCTGACTGTGTCTATGCTTGAACAAATCAAATCAAATCAAATTATGCTTGATCAAATGGTATAAGTATTTACTATAAAATAACGGTCTTATAAAAAATTTGCGGTGTACTTGAGGAGATTGTCTAATGATACGAATGTACTTTATCCGATCATATCAAATTCTGAAAACGAGTTAAAACAAAAGTCTAAAACAAACTATTTAAGAATAACATATCCAACTTTGCACGTAATTTTTAACCGAGGTAAAAAAAGGAAGAGGTTCTCAATCCGTTGAAAAAATAAGTTGAATGCATGGCTTAAAGGCAAAAATTATTACACAATGACCGATTTCGTGAATAAACATTGACATATTAATTACTACAGATATGTTATTTAATTGTTTGACTTTCACAATTTTTGCTATTATTTCAATTGACTATGTATTGAAATAAAATTTGAACTTTAAGAATGTTATGTGCGTGTCTACGGACATTATTTGTAATATATATAATACGTATAAGTTTGCATGCCAGATGTGGTAAAATATGAGCTCTAACTCTCTACTTTTAACCGACTTCAAAAAAGGAGGAGGTTCTCACTTCGACTGTATGTTCTTTTTTTTCTTTATTTTTTTGTATGTATGTTATTTGTGAACCGATTTTCATGATTCTTTTTTTGTTGGAAAGGGGGTACTTCCATAGTGGTCCCATTTCATTTTGAAGAAAGTAATCCACCTCTAAGGGTGGCCGTTCACGCATGAAGATTCATTTTCATAAATAGCGCCTAGCTTTAATTTAGGAGCAATTACTTTAATGCTTGATTTTGCTATTTCTCCCATTCAAGGCGTTTTTCTCTCAATATACTTTGAGTAGTTTCGTAGTGAGAACCTATTTTTATTGTCTCCAGCGTCAAGTCCTGTATAGTGGCGAACAAGGGGATATTTCAATAAAACTTAGCAAATAGACGTAATTCCACGTACTTTTGAGGTCGGTTTTCTTAGCACTCTGTACTAAAAAAAATTAAGAGATTATCATTATTGTTATTTCAGACCAAAACATTGGAATGGCAGTTGAATAGTAGATCGCCGCCCTTGACACTCTGTCGAGACAAAACTAAGATAAATCTGTCATAGATTTCTCATAGATGGCGCTACGACTAAAAAGTCGTTGAAAGACCAAGTACAAAGACACGACGCAAGCACATAGAAAAATTCGTGAGGTCCGTTGGTTCGTTCCGTGGCTTAGTTGGTATAGCGTCTGGCACGGTATGCAAGAAGACGTCGGTTCGAATTCGACCGGATCGATGGAATTTTTTCTGAGTGTTCGATCTTTGTATTAATAATTATAACAAACTAGTGGAGTAATTTCACAAAAAATAATTGAATATCAATTCAATAAAAATTTAATTAAAACTAAGATGACTTAAAATTACCAGTCTTGACCAATTGGTGTAATTGTCTGGTACCTTATTACCGGACTCTATTTATTATTATTTTTTAACCGAGTTCAAAAATGGTTCTCAATTCGACTGTGTGTTTTTTTCGTATGTATGTTAAGCGATAATTCGCATAATTTGTAAACCGATTTCAATGATTCTTTTTTTTGTTGGAAAAGAGGGTACTTTAGTATTGTAACCATTTAAATTTGAAGAAAATACCACCTCTAAGGGTGGCAAACTAGGGGATGAATCCGGTTTCGCGCACTTTCCGGTAACTTTTTAGTACTCTGTAGTGACTTATAAATTTATACTGTCATCTCCAAGGTTACCAGGAAGACATCGCTATCTAGAGTATCTGGCAACAAGGCCGCCTGTGCTTTGTTCTGGTGTGCAATAAAGACTTTCGTATTGTATAGTTTTGTTTGCATAACGTATGACAACAAGAGTGTTTAATATAAAAGCGAAACAAGGTTCAGCTGGCGATTGTGCTCTTACAAACAATTTTAGGCGAAATTATAATTTAAAGTTTTTGAAACATTACTTCTACTTAACATTATGTTCGGCATACCGTAAAATGTTTTTTTTTTATAATATCAAGTGACGGTATGAACAAGTCGTGCGCCTGATGGAAAGCTACACGCCTGTCCATAACAGTGCCACTCAGAGGGTTAAAACGCAAAGATCTGAAGGCATTGCCACTGCGCCCGTCACCCTGAGACATAAGTTGCCAAGTCCCAAGTGCCTGTAATTTCACCAGCACCCTTACCCTTCAAAACCGGAACACAGTAATACTGACAATTGGTAAACTGGCAGTAATTCTCTGGACGAACTCTTTTACAAGGAGCACCAACAGCTGCTAAAATGTATTATTGTTCTGAATTCGACTGTATTATTTTTTGTGTATGTAACACGAGAACTATAACATTTCTGAACCGATTTCGACGATTCATTTTTGTTGGAAAGGAGATACCTCAGTAGCGATTTCAATCAAATTTTAAGAAAATAATCCACCTTAGAGGGTGGCAAATTAGAGGCTGAATCTGGTTTAGCGTTCTTTCCGTTAACCGATGTCAATAAAACTTGACAAATAGATGTAACGAACACAGCGAAAGCGGATAAGCTTACTTTTAGAGTCGTTGTTTTTTATAAAAAAAAATTGTAGTACACTGTTTTTTATCGGGGTTATTTTTTCAATTTTAATTCAAGTATTGATATCGTTAAAATTATGACGTCACACATTGACTTACAATTATATGGACGTCGGGTCCGCGCCTAAAAGTGCCCGCACTTGTAAGGCGCTAAAATCGTATAGTTTCATTTGTTCTACTGACAGCGCGATACTGCGAAGACATTACAATTTAAATTTCGAATAGGTTGACTTGGGACATTTTTTTCGTGGTTTTTGTATTAGACCCGTCGTCCATTTATTTGTAAGTCAATGACGTCACAGGTCAGTTTGTGCAAGTATGGACTTTTGAACCCTTTTCTCAAATGACCATCGATATTTATATCGATACTTTCGTAAATGGCATTGGATTACTAATATTTAAGTAGACTATAATTAATTGTAATGTATAAATAAATAAATCTCAATTCGATTGTATGTTTTTTTGTTTGTATTATTGATTTACTTTATACATTTTAAGGAAATTCACGGACAAATAATACAATTATAGTATACATAGTTAAATACGAATAATCCAATGTATATTGATTTGGACGATTCTTTTTTGTTGGAAAGGGGATACCTTTTTTTGATTTTCTTTTTTTGATTATTTTTTTTCTCGTATTATCCGTTCACCGGTTTGGTGCAACAAGTTCTAGTGCAGTGCAGTGGGGGCGTTCGGATTGTTATTGGTTTTAAGGAAATAAATTGTGACTCAGTCTTATTTCAAAGTTAAATTGTAAATAATTTAAACGTATTTTTAATCATTAATTAAATTCGCTGGATTTAAATGAATTGACCGAATGGTTTTCAGCCGGTCTCTCTGGCCTCCTAGATGCTCTGCGTTGGGGATGTAGTAGCTCGTTTTAAACATTTTTTACATTAAAATAAGTGTTTGCAAACTGCAGGTGGTAACGTCCGAAATTCAAATGCACGCTTATGATCTATGCCACAAGGGCGGAGCGATACAGAAGAAATGTATTCGCAAACTCCCCAATATAGACTCGTTTACCAGCTGCCAGTCGTATGTCATCAAATACGTAAATATCTCGACTTTAACATATATATATTACAAATGTGTCTTATTGTCAAGAATAATTTGGACGCATATCCTCTGTATTGTCGTTCAAAAAAATTAAGATCCAAATGCAGGCTAGCAACAACAGTTTCAAACTCAACTTGGGCCCGTATTCTATGTCAATTAAAATTTATAATTAATATGTTATCAGTGTTCTAAAAATATGATATTATAATTATGTAATTTAATAAAATAAACGCAGAATAATAATATCACGGAGTAAATAAACGCATTTATTACGAATATTTAATTGTGGAATTATTATTATATGTACAATACTAAGATAATTTGACGATTAATTTTTAAGTAATTAATTTTTAATTGATTTATTATTAATAAATGAATTGATTTATTGTTAAAATACTTTAAATTTAAATTAGACAATCATTTTAAAATTAAATCGTTTGACTTTCTGAATATATTTGCTTAGATTTATTTATTTTCATTATAATAATATTATGGTACTTACTGGGTACACGTTTGATTCTTTACCAACTACTATAAGACCTAAATGTAACAATACGATATTATTATTATTATTCTAAATGAATTAAACTTACGCCATCTAGAAGGGAGATTGAAATGAGTTTTTGTATCAAGAGTCTAGATAATGGTTGACGCAATGATTTGATGCAATAACATCAAAACGGGTTTTGGGTTCGGAACACCCTTGTTGTTGCTCATTGCTTATATAAGCTAATTTTTAAGTAACTTATAACAAAGTTTCAATATACGATTACAACTTTTAAAAGTTCGTTATACAATATTTCGAATTTGTGAACAAACAGTTTAAACCATGGTTTCCCAAAGAGGTTCCTACCGCCCGCAGTGGGCGCTGACGACTCATAGAGGGCGGTAGGGAGCTCGGAAGCAATCGGGGAGCGTTGATGCTGTCCATGGAGTGCTATAGCATTTGAAAAATTACTTACTACAACTACACTTGCCTAAGTGGGCGGTGTCCCAAAAAGATTGGGAACCTATGGCTTAAAGACGAAGACGTGTGATTAGTAGAATATTTTTTGTACTAACTTTAAATGTTTCGTGACGGTTCGTGAACTAAAAATTACTATAGTGCCACAGACGCGTGGCAAACTCACGACTAATAGGTTTTAGTAATAGGTCTTAGGGTCGTATTCTAGAACTCTACTCAATCCTCAAGTCAGGATTGCAATTGAAACACAAGCACTGGAAATACGACCCTAATGGCAGGGACTTGAGTATGATTTCGAATGCTTTAAACCATACTCAAATCCTGACTTGAGCATTGAGTAGAGTTCTAGAATACGACCCATAGAATCTACGAACACCGGGTAGGGTTATTTCGAAGTGTATTGTATTTGTAATAGGGTTGAATATTTAATGAATTAGTTTGAAATTAACGAGCATATTATACTTACATGGCAGTCCCTGGACGGCAACAAAAGCCTGAAAAAATAGAGTAAACGTGTTCGTTGATTAATTATGTAATGCAACCAAGTCTCATTGAAGTAGATTTTTGTTTGTTTCACTTTCGATCTAATGACATATCGATCTCGATCGAACGGGCACTCGATTTATTGTCATTGGAGAATTGAGTCTGTTACATTTTTTGACTGACTTCAAAAAATGAGCAGGTTCACAATTCTATTGCATTTTTTTTTGATGGAAAAAGGGTACCGCAGTACAGGTCCGACTTAAATTTGAAAATATTCCATCTTTAAGGGTGGCCAACTAGATGATGAATCCGGTTCCGCGCACTTTCCGGTAACCAATTCTAAAACGAAACCTGGCAAATAGACGTAATTCCACGAATTTTTGTGGTAGGTTTTTTAGACAACATAGTTATAATTATAAAAACTACATTGAGACCTTGAATGTCTTCTATCTTTACTTTGCTGGATAGGGTTGGTGAAAACACTTTAAGTTACTCATTTACTATAACTTTTTTAACGGCTATATTTAACCGACTTCAAAAAAAGGATCTCAATTCGACTATGTTTTTTTTGTACGTATGTTAAGTGATAACTCGTTTTTTGAACCGATTTTGATGATTCTTTTTTTTATGGAAAGAGGGCGGTAAAAAAAATGGCGGTAAAAAAAAGAAAATATTCCACGTCGTACTCTGTACTGTGATTATTTATTTCACGTTCAAATAATGGAGACAGTAGCTCCTCATTAGAAAAGACCCGTGTCTAGCAGTACGATGTACACTATGAAAGTAAAACCATTTTTTTTTTTAATCAAAACCGCGTATATTTCGCACTGCTGTTACAATAGTATTCTAACTCAAAATATGTGAAATTTAATATTATATCATTACTGAACATAAAATTTTATTCTCTACACGTCAAAAAAACCGTCGTTAGAATGTTGTAAGAAACAATCATAATCTCAGTACTGAGTACTAAAAAGACCGACCTCAAAAGTAGGCGGAAATACGTCTATTTGCTAAGTTTTATTGAAATATCCCCTAGTTCGCCACTATACAGGACTTGACACTGGAGATAATAAAAATCGGTTCTCACTACTCAAAGTATATTGAGATAAAAACGCCTTGAATTGGAGAAATAGCAAAATCAACCATTAAAATAATTGCTCCTAAATTGAAGTTAGGTGCTATTTATAAAAATGAATCTTCATGCGTGAACAGCCACCCTTCGAAGTGGATGCTTTACTTCAAAATGAAATGGGACCACTATGGAAGTACCCCCTTTCCAACAAAAAAAGAATCATGAAAATCGGCTCACAAATACCGGAGTTATCGCGTAACATACATACAAAAACAAAACATATAGTCGAATTGAGAACATTCTCCTTTTTTGAAGTCGGTTAAAAAGATATCTCTTAACTCAAAATGAGACTCACTTTATGTGAGCTATTTCTGGCCAAAATAATCCTTATTCATAAACATGAAATTATTTTTGCCATCATATTGTTAAATATATTTGAGAAATTGTTTAAGTGTCTATAATAAACTGTAACATATAAATTTTAATGTTTTTTTGCGGGAAGTGAGTAATTCGTTTTTCATAGATTCTGAAAAAGTTCTCTTTTTGAGTTAAGACACTATTGTTTTAACAGTGCTATTTGTTTTTTCCACAAACACGGAAACAAATTTTCGTGTTATAATTATTAATACAAACTGGTGGAGATAAAAATTTAACTTTTCGTGTGGCCCATGGCTACTTGAAAAAGGCAAGATTTAGATCAGAAAAAAAATAGTTTCGTCTTGTGTAACAATCGCGCAAAACACGAAAAACAAAAACACGTCACAAGCTTTTTTTCTAACATCAAGCTCTATTTCTAAGTGTATAAATATGTTTATCACTTACCAATAAGGCAAATAGTGTCCAAGTCAGCTTCATCTTTCCAAATAATATTGGAATTCCTCCTCAAACTATGATGGAAACCCGGTACCGTCCACGTTTTATAGCTACAAAAACAAAGGGCCAATTCATGTAAAGTAAACCTGCAAATTAAACAAATTAATTTTCACAATTCGCTTCGCTCATAATTAAAACTAAATTTATTAATTCACAAACCATCTGTATCGATTATTAATTACGTAAATATATATGCAAACAAACACACGTGCAAACGCACACTCACACACAGACACGTCTTGTTAATTATATTGACGCACTATGAAATTATTCAGAAGGAATTAAACCATGCTGATGAATTAATAGATTATTGAACAGATGCCGAAAACGTGACTTTAGTTTGTATCAAATAACTCAGTACAGAGTATACTAAAAAGCCGATCTCAAAAGTTCTTAAGTTTTATTAAAATCCGTTACAGGATTCATCACAAAAAACACAGTCAAATTGAGAACCTTGTTTGGAAGTCGGTTAAATTCAATTCAATTCAAATTCATTTATTCAGATAACTAGGATCCATAAGTGTTAGCAACAATGAAACTTATAATTAGGTTAGTACTTAAATTCTAGAACAGATTTTGTATTATTAATGAGATGCCGCGTTGTGGGACACTCACACCTAACCGCAATTGTCTTCAGGAGGCTGTTACCGCTGCCACGTATTCTGTTCAACAGAGATGCTGATCTTTTGCGCAAGACTGCCATGAAGCTATCCACACGGGCTTCAGCAAACATGGCAGACGCACTGCAAAACCGCGGCAGCCGCATCAGCGTCCTGAAGGCGTAATGCGTGCGTATGGCCCTGAGCGAGACTTGGGTATAGCTGGCCCACAGAGCCCCCGCGTACAGTGGTGTGCAGTTAGCTCTGAAAAGAGTGACCTTCACCTCCACCGTACATCGAGCAAACCTGCGAGCCAGCATGTTCGCCCTCACCGACAGTGCCCTGCGCCCGCGTTCTATATCCATATTGTCCTTGAGGTCGTCGGCAATATAGTGTCCTAAATATTTGAAATGTGCTACTCTCTTCAATGGAATTCCATTGAGACTTATGGGAAGCACATTGTTAGGACTCTTCTTGCCGGCGACCCCAAAGACCATATACTCAGTCTTTTTGACGTTGTACATCAATCCATGCGAGGCGGCATAATCCTCCCAAACCCCAATCAATTTTCTAAGTGCACTGATCGATGGTGCCAGCAGCACCATGTCATCGGCATAACTAATATTATTGAGACATACTCCATCTATATAGCATCCCACATGAGTGCTGCTAAGCTCACCGATTAGTGTATTTATGTACAGATTAAAAAGTTTTGAAGAAGTTAATCCCCCCTGCCTAACTTCACATTCCGCAACATACGGAGAAGAGAGAGCATTGCCCCATCTCACTACGTTAGTTTGATTGTGATACCAATATTCAAACAGGCCCCTTAACTTCGGCATGCCCGTCGCCCTCAATTTAGCCCATAGGATGTCATATTATGAGACCAAATCGAAGGCTTTTGAGAGATCAAGAAAGCACGCGAAAATGGGTGTCCTGTCGGTATAGTACTTGACAGTATGCTTCAACGTCACTATAGCGTTTTCCGTAGAAAGTCCTGATTGAAAGCCAAACTGAGCATCATATAGGTGTAGATACGGGTTTAAATATGAGTTGAGCACGCCGTCAAGCACCTTGGCTACGACCGTCGCCAAAGAGATTGGCCTATAGTTACTAGTATCTGCCACATCTCCTGTCCTGTTTTTGATTACTGGTACCACAATCGTCCTCATCAAATCAAAAGGAAGGTACGAATGTGCCAAACATAAATTAAATAATAGTGCAAGCACTCTCGCTATGTGCGCGCCGGCATACTTTATGTGCTCAATACTGAGGCCATCGTGTCCAGGTGATTTACCTCTTTTGATTCTGCTTATAGCTATACGGATATCTTTAGCTTTAATTAAGGTAACAACCTGTCCACGACCAGATTCAGCACCGGGCACACCCTGAGACGGCCCAAGAGGCGATTTCACAGCAAAATGATGCTTGAAAGTATCTGCTATGTCTAGCTCCCTAGTCACGCCATCAACGCTCAAGGGAAGGCCATGCGATCCATGCAACCTATTGGTGGATTTCCAAAATTTCCCAAAGTCAGACCCAAAAATGTAGCCATTAAAAGTTTAAAATTATAGTAAATTAGTAAGTTAAAGTTGTTTATTGATTTACCACTCATGTTCAGGGTGTTTTGATCTCAACCATATCCAGCGGAGTAAAGATAGAAGACATGCCTAGTTCAAGGTCTCATTGTAGTTTTTGTAATTATAAGTATTTTGTTTAAAAAACCTACCTCAAAAATTCGTGTAATTACATCTATTTGCCAAGTTTCGTTTTAGAATCGGTTACCGGAAAGACTTTCCGGTGCTTACTAGTTTGTTTGTTCACAAATTACGCGAGTTATCGCATAACATGTATAAAAAAAAGAAACAAATTTTATTAGACATTAGATAGAATTTTGTATGATCGGATAAAGTACATCCTGTAACAAATTACCACTTACTGTAGACAATATCCTTAGGTGCATCGTATATTTTTTGATTAGACCGTTATTAAGAGTAAATGCTTAAACCATTTGTCCTAACGTAATTTCAGTACAGAGTACTTAAAAAACCGCCCTCAAAAGTCATTCATCCCCTAGTTTACCACCCTTTGAGGTGGAATATTTTATTCAAATTTAAATTAGACCACTTCTGAGGTACCCTCTTTCCAACAAGATTTTTTTTTTTTAATAATCTTTTTTTTTTTTTTTTTATAATCTTAATTTAATATAATATAATTTGATTTAGCATATTACACTTTGATTTTTAATATATTGTAATGACTGATGTAATGTGATGTATAATGTCTATGGGTCTTTGTTGCCCGAATTAAACGAATTTTATTTATTTTATTTTTTAATAAAATAACAATCAAATACGGTTCACAAATAGTGAGTTGTAGCGTAATTATACATTGCATTATTCATTTTTAACTATGTATATTATAATTGTATTATTTGTCCGTGAATTTTCTTAAAATGTGTAAGTAAATAAATAATACACACAAACAAAACAAAAAATTTCTTTGAAGTCGGTCAAAAATAGAAATATGGTTAATTATTGATAGTCATATGGGAAAAGGGTTCAGAAGTCCAGACTAGCACAAACTGACTTGCGACGCATTGACTTACAATAATATGGACGTCGGGTCCGCGCTAAAAAGTGTC